TTTGTCTACTGCATTGCAGTCTTTTATTCATTTTAAATTAAAAACTGGCACATTAGCATACTCTCGACACAAAGGATTATAGACATTACAGAAGCCCTTTATTTAAAAGTCAATTAAGCCCTTCTTCCTAAACAATTGAGTCCTGCCCCTGTAGAGTGGGGCAGAGCTGGGTGAGTGAGTGGGGGGGTGGGGGTGGGGGGGCACAGTCTCCCAAGGCTGGTCACAGCCAGAGTAAGCAGAGGGACATGCCCCTGTGGGGGGAAGAGTGGCAGTGGAGATGACAGGTTGGTTATGTAGGGGTACCTGTCAAATAAGTAAATATGTAAGAATGATGGAAGCCAGGTTTCACACAGTTGGGGAAGTGAAAGGGAAGAAGCCAGAATGAACCCTGCGGTGTTGGGTTGGAAGGAAAGGTACCAGGGTCTACTCCTGAGCAGTTTGCATAGGTGGAAATAGAAATAAATACAGTTGTAAATGAGTATGTATGGGTGGGTATGCAAATAGGCCTGGAAGCAGGGACACCCCAGTAGCCATAAGCCTGCTTAGCACTCATATCTTGGCTTCTGTGTAGCTGGTTCAGCTTCCAGGAACCAGGGCTCCTTGTGGAAATGGCTCAGTCTGGGGCTGGGGCAGGGAAAGTAGAACATGAACCTGGAACATCTTGTTGCAGCAGACAGCAAGAAAGGGTTCAAAAGATGATGGGAACATGGAAGGAGGACCAAGCCAGTTTGAAGAGGTTTCCACTGGCCAAATTAGAGACAGTTTGAGCATCAAGTAAAAGATAGTAGCAGATGATAACCCACTGAATAAAATAGGACATCATGAGTCCATCTACATAGGAGTACAGAAGTGCGTACTTTTGAGGGTTTGAAATTGATAATTACTTAGTATCAAAGCTCTCCCTCCCCCATAACTTCTTAACTACAAAGGGGGAAAGTGTATAGTATTAAAGTGCTCCGTCCCCCCTAACTCCTTAACCACAAAGGGGGAAAGCGTAACCTCACAGTGCGGAAGCCTGGCAGCCACCACCTCAGTCAGGTGCTCAAAGTGAAACCATGGGCAGCCTGATGGAATGCACTGAGAAAGAACGTAACTAGAATGTCACTCTTTATGCCAAAGATGCATAACTTGAATCCAGCCGTGAGGAAGATCAGACACACTCAGATTAGGGGATGTCTTACAGGATAACTGGCACATCATCATGTATCAAAGTCATGAAACTGGGGGAGAGAGAATAGGAGTGTTTAAACCAAAGGAGCCTGAAGACAAATGACAACCAGGTGCCATGTGTGATTCTGAACTGGATCTTTGTGTCAGGAAGGGAATCATTGCGACAACTAGGCAAAATAGAATGGGGTCCAGGGAAAGGCTGGAAGTAGTGTAGCGACATGAAGATTCGTGATTCTTATGTTATATTCTGGTTGTATCAAAGAATGCTCTTGTTTTCAGGAAATCCCTAAAATACTCAGGGGTGAAAGGGACAGGTTGGCAGGTTACTCTTGGTGGTTCAGGAGAAAGGGTTCTTCAGATCATACTGAAGACCTTTCCTGCATGTGATTATTTCACAACAAAACAAAAAACCAACAAGATACTGACTCATATTTATTAGAATGGCTCAAATATAAATGACAGATATTGGGGGACAGGTGTGCCATAACAGGAACTCTCATCCGTGGCTTGTGAAAGTATAAAATAATTCTTTATTAAAATAGCCAATACTTCTCCAGAGTGCAGAGACCATCCTATGACTCAGTGGCCCCACTCCTAGCTTCCCTGGGCCTACCATACCCTTTCTGCCCTGGCAGAATGTTACTTCTTTCTCAAGAGCACACCCCCAAATTATCATAAAGCCTTCATGATGAAAACTTCTAGCAAACTTGGAGTAGAAGTTGTGCAGAGAAGGTTTACTCCATAGCATTAGGATGTCCCAACTCTGCACCTTGTGAAGAAACTGGCCGTGGGCCAGTGTTTGGAAGATAATCTCCAAGCTCTTGGTGTATCCTGCGTGATAACAGGATATTGTTTTTGCACACCTGGAGCCTCGGACCGTCACACCAGAGAGTTTATGCCAACAGTGTGATTTATGAGAGGGGCCTTGGACCAGACTATTTGCATTTGACTTCTGGAGGAACTGAAGACTGAGTAACTAAGGCTAGCTATTTGGATGCTCCCAGCTGCATGACTGACTCCCAGTGAAAAGACCATATGCCAAGGCCCCAGGGAGCTTTCTGTGTGGACAGCACTCTGTATGTGCATTCATTCTCGTTGCTAGGAGAATTAGGTGCCTTCTGTCGTATTTCAGTGGGAGAAGACAACTGGAAGCTGCATCTAGGTTTCTCCTGGAATTTTAGGAGTAGAACTGAGTGATTCATCACATCCAGACAGCACCCAGTGGTCACCACAAGTGCCCTCCTCAGTCCCCATTCCCCTGGTTAGCCCATCCTCCACCCACCTCCCCTCCAGCAACCCTCAGTTTGTCCTCTGTTGTTGAGAGTCTGTTTTATGGTTTACCTCTCTCTACCCTCACCATTTTCATCTGTTGTATTTCTTAAATTTCACAAGAACTGAACTCTTTATATTTCTTTTTCCCGTCTAAGAATATATCTCTTTCCATTTGTTACAGGATATTTTTGTATCTTTCAAGAACATCTTTTAGCTTTTCACACATGGGTTTGGGCTTTTCTTGTTAAATCTATACTGTGATGTTTGTTGTCCTTGCTAGTCTTTTATCTTTTGTTTTGGCTATTACAAATGGGGTTATCTTTTTCCCTGAATCTTCTCCCTGTCAACCTGGCACTTTTTGGTGAACAATTTAAGTCATTGTTTTGTTATCGTAAATAGTTCTGTGATGAATATCCTTATAACTGTATCTCCGTATTTGTGATACTTGGAGTAGCAGATGTATTTTCCAAAGATGGCTGCATCTAAACATATCCCATCCCACGTGGTCTTATTAAAATCAGTTTTGTCGCTGCTCCACTGGAGGGAGGTGTGAGGTCTGTGTCCCTTCCTCTTGAGCCTGAGGGGACCATTGTAACTGCCTGGGCTATGGCGTTGGGCAGAAATGACAGAGGGGCAGAAATAACAGCGTATGACTTCTGGGCTGTTATAAAAGGTGCCTACGCTTCTGCCACAGTCTCAGAGACTGCTTGCTCTGGGGAGACAGTGACGCTCCTGTGGACCCCTGATGAGAGAACAAGGCTCCCCACCGTCACCTGCTTGGCAGCCATGTGAAGGAGCCTTCTTGGTAGGGAATCCTCCCCCTGACATCGGGCTGGTATGTGGCAAGCTGGCATTGAGCTGCACCCTTAGAAAGGACCCAGAATCAGAACTGCCCGGCCAAGCCACTCCCAAATTTCTGGCCCCAGAAACACTGATGGATAGTAAATGATGATTGCTGTTTTGAGGCACTAAGCTTTAGACTGACTTGTTTCCCAGCCACCATCGCTGGATGCTTAGGGAGGTTGATGTTAGTTACTTTTGGAAAATTTTTTTAGGAATGTTGTAGGAGAGCATTTCCTAAACAGCCTTTCTTATTAGCACACTAGTCTTTTTCCAAAAGCCCCATGAAAATGGTCTCTGCAGTCAGATTATTTGGGAAAGACATCCTTTTTGGAAATTCAAAATATAGTTTAGCATTATTAAGGGCTCTAAAATTTTGTAAAGTCCCCATCTAGCTTTGACTCGGTTTTCTCAGATTCATTCTACCAGAAGTCCCTATTCATGGAACATGGTGGGTAGACTCTGCTGTCCACGGAGCAGCTGTTACGAGCAGCCTCTGACTCAGGTTCCTTAAGTCACATCCCAGCCCAGCCATTTATGAAATGGTTGACCTGGGCGAGTTTCCTCACTTCCGTATACCTCGGTTCCTCCTCTGGAGGACGGTCAGATCATTACCTACCCTATAGGGATGTATGGCATTAAAACAATGTATCCATATAGTGTGCTTAGAAAAATGCCCAATACGTAATAAGCCCTCCATGAATGTTAGCTGGCATTAATGAGATCATCCTTACATGTATTTACATTGTTCCTTTTATGTGTAGTCTTCTTGGCTAGTAATATGGAATTCACCATAGATCTTTTTAGCAATCTACCCATAATTTTTATAGTGCTGTGTGGGTCCCAGGAAATCTGTTACAAGGCTTGTTGTTTCATAATCAACAGTTTTTTTCTCTTGCTAGCTAATTACTGACCGTCAGAAAATATCCATTCATTCAACCTGTATTTATTAAACACTGAATGCCAGGCACCCATCTGGGACCTGGGGCTGCGTGGTGACCATGGCCGACAGCCCAGGACTCTGCTCTGAGAGCGTGCCCTTTTGTGGAGCTAGGCAGGCCATAAACAAGGGAACTAGCGAGGTCATCCCAGATGCTGCCTGCCAATGAAGAAGACAAGGGATATGGCACAGTGGGACATGGGGGAGCCTGCTTGAGATGGGGCAGTCAGGGTAGGCCTCTCTGAGTGAGGTGAGATCGAGGCTCACCCTGAAGGTGGAAAATGGGACAGGCATAGAAGGAGTGCAGAGGCCTTGGTTCCTGAGACAAGTCGCTTGAGTTTTTGTAGTGAATTTATTTAAGATACTACTTACATATACTACATGATGTGTGGGTGTGTGTGTATTTAGCAACACTTTTGCACTGGTGTGAAACAACCCGCTTCCTGGATTTGTTGAGCAGTCAGGCTTCACCACGCACGTGTTGAGTGTGGTGTCCATACGTGGGGTGGGTTTGTGCGTTCTTGCCTTCAGCACCTACTGACTGCATTCTTCCCCTCGCGAGCTTCAGTGGGGGTGCCTAGCCTCCCCCTGCAGGTGGTGGCCCCAGTCCCTTGTAGTAAGTGCCCCACGGGAGGTGTGTTGGGATGGCTGCTGCTTAGCAACCCTGTTCTCCGACAGAGGGCACAGGACACGTGAGCAGAGGTCACACGTGACTCCCTCTGTTGTCAGAGCAGAATCTTGTGTCAGCAAATTATATGATTGCCGTTTATCTGTTTAGATCTAAGCTGGAACCAGAGCCAAATACAAAGACAAGAGAATCCATGTCTTCTGAGAAAGGTTCACGGCATCCTTCACAAGAGTCTGAAGAAAAACCTGCTACTGAAGAATACCCAGGTATGAGCTGAAACCCAAGTCTTGCCTCACATCTCTTCCTTACGACGTGTTGGCAAAAATACAAAGCAAAGAAAGGAACACTGTCCCAGACACCTTGTGGTGCTTGTACTTGCATAAAGCAAAGGAAACACAGAAGGACAGTGTTTTTTTCTGTCCCACTAGGAGCTCATGCCTGTTGGGGCTGGGCAGGATGGTTCCTCCAGTCACCCCAGAACCAGCAGAGTCCAGGGAGAGGGCCTGACCTGTGGTGCATCACCATGGTGGGGGCTGGGGACTCTGAACCAGGAGGAATATAAGAGCTCTCTGCTCAAGGAATCTTGCCCACCGGCCCCAGGAAAGGTGGGACACTGCCTCCCCTGCCCCATGTGGTGCCCTGTCTCACGATCTCAGCATCCTCTTAGCACTGACCCCGCGTGGCCACCCTGTGTAGGCAGCACATGCCTAGTTTGCTGTATCTCAAGCATAGCAGGAGTGGGATTTTGCTTTTGCATAAATCTCGGGATGATGGCGTGCTGAGGCCCCAGGGCCCGGCTATCTTCCTCAGTCCCCTCATCCGTCTTAATCACAGTGGCTATCATTTCCGGCGCATCTCCCGGACGCCGGGCACTGCCCTGAATCCTTCCAGTCACCACCACTATCCTTAGAGCAGCCCTCTGGGAGGAGCTTTGTGGACTGGTTTTTGAGGTGAGCCTTCTTAGAGGCTGGGAGAGGCTGGCAAACTTAAAAGCTCATAAATGGTGGACTCAGGATTGGTACATAGATCTGTACTGCCTCTCCGTCTGATTTTCTCCCTGTATTGTACAAGAGAGGGAAGTCAGAATGCAGTGTGGGAATGATTACCTGAAAGATGCCAGCGGTGCTTTCTGTGGTTGGAAACAGTGTCCGTGGGGAGCAGTGGGGAGACCAGCATCCAGTGAGCCCTCCACTGTGCTGGAGGGCCGTCATGCTGAGCCGTCAACAGATTGAGTCTCATTGGGTCTTGTGAGGTAGTGCTGTCGTCATTTTATGTGTGAGGAAATCGAGCTTTGAAGAGATTATATAATCTGTCCAAAGTCAAAACCAAGAAAGGGGCAGCACCTGGGTTACTCTATATAGACCCCCAAGCCTGTCCTCTCTGGGGGCTGTCTTGATCCCATAGGCCAGAGGCCTTGCACATGTCCTATCTACACTGGTCCCTGAAGAAGAAAAGCCCCAGCATCACTCACGAACTAACGGGGCCGAGCTTTTCACGAGATGGCATATGGTGATAGCATGTCTAAGTTCACTCATGCCACACACAGCACACTCATTCCATCACTCGTTCATTCGAGAAATCCCGTTAGGGCTGATGAGAGTGGGGAGAAGCCCCTACAGATCCTTGGGACCCAGCTGAGGCCAGCTCTCTGGTGAAGAGCTGTCTGCCCTTGCTGAGCCCAGAGCCCACACGAGTGCTGCTGTGCCGGCCACTGTGCTGGGTGCTGGGGATAGTCTTGAGTAGAAAATAAGGCCCCTGTGCTTACAGACCAGCAGGAAACAAGTTAATGGCATAATCACACCAGTGTAGTGTACCATCATTGTACGTGCTGTGTGATAGAGGGTCCTGGTCATAGGAGAGATGAGGCCAGTCTGAGAGGTCGGAGAGCTTGATAGTTCAGGAGAGACCCAAGGGCAGCGAGGAGTGAGGCCTGTGTCTCTGAGCAAGAGTGTCACAGGCTGGAGAAAGCACATGCAGAGTCCCCGAGAAGAGGGCATGCCTGGCAGGGCGGATGAGCAGCCTGGAGGCTGGAGAGCGAGGCAGAGGGACAGCAAGCAAGGACAGGCCAGGGCACCGGCTGCTTGAGGACTACGGCTTTTACTCTGAAGGAAGTGGAAAGCCATGGGGAAGCCAGCACTGTCATAGCCACTGTGTTTGAATGGGGCCCCAGAGGTGGCTCTGTTGAAGAAGAGAAATAGGGACAGTGAAGAGGCTGCTGAAGTCCCCCAGAGACAAGCACGACACACATGGTAGCAGGGGAGCGGGGGAAAGTGCTGGAATTCTGGATACGTCTTGAAGTAGAGCCACAGCATTCGCTTCTGTATGTGGGACAGGCAAGGAGGAGGGGTCGAGGAAGGTTGTGGTGGTTTGGACAAGGGTGAAGCTTGCTGGCCTTCACTGGGATGCAGGAGATTGGTTTGATCAGGAACTCGGGGTCAGGTATGTTTATTTTGAGATGCCTGGCAGAGGTATTGAGTAGGGAGTTGGGCTTACGAGTCTGGAGGTCAGGGGGCAGGTCCGAAGGCAGCATCGATCCCCTGCGACAGGCTAGGATCCCCCCAGAATGAGGGTGAGTAAAGGGAAGATGAAGGTCTGAGGCCTCCCAGCACTTCCCATCCTCCCTGCTTTATCCTTCTCCCTGGCATGTGCCACCATCCTGTTTGTTTTACTCATTTATGTTCTTTATGATCTGTCTCTCCTACTAAAATGTAGGTTCCACGAGGACAGGAAATTTCTGTTTTTTCACTGCTCTAACACTGGCACCCACAACAACGCCTGACACAGGAGGCGCTTAATAAATCTTTGAAACAGTCCATCACTGAAAACCATGAGAGGCAGCAGGAAGGTGGTCGGGAGCGCCGATTGCTTTTAGTTACTGTGGAAGTGTTTCCTGGTGTAGAAGGAACCTCATGCCTCTGGGCAATACGAAATACCCCGTCAGGTTGAAAGAACCCTCTTCCTCACGGTTTATATTCTCATCTTAAAGTCAGTACTTGTTGTTTTATAACCATGAGGTTCTCTCCTGACACAACCAGCACTCCAGATACTAAGGGCGCGCTCTCCAATTAGCTCCGGAGCCCCGCAGAGGAGACGGGATGGTATGAAGAGGTCTCTTCTGAGACTGTCATGGTCCCAGCTCTAACACCTCCTGGCGCTTCTGAGCACCAGTTCCCCCATTTTTAAAATGGGGGTGATGATACCGACTTTTTAGGGGCCTGGGGATGGTACGAAGTTGTCATTGGTGTTGCCTTTGCTTACTGCTCTCCTTGCATCTTGAGACACTCCCCGCCACCCCCACAATCTCTTGGTCCTGGGATGTCTCTGAGATGCCCTGTGGCCAGTCCTCTCCTGCCTTTTCCCCTGCACCCTGGCACCTGCCGGCTTCTGCTGGCTCAGCCTCCCTGTCCCCGCAACTGCACAGACCACCCTTTCCTTCAGGTCATTCGGTGATGCTTGTTACGTAGTCCCCTTTCCCTTAGTTACATGGCATCCCAAGGCCTAGTAAAATCTGAATATTAAAAATGTACACAATTTCCTGTCTGTACAGATTTTTAAATAGTTCATTTTGTTGGTTTTTTTTCCCAAAAGAAAGCTATTACCATTGTGTATCCCACCTTCATCTGTTTCCTGTTTGTGGGTCTGTAAGGGAAGAGCAGAAACAGGACTGCAGCAGGGGGTCACAAAGCGACTATGGGCTCAGACTGACCTGGTTTCACAGCCTGGCCTCTGTCCTGAGCTGTGACCCTGGACGAGTTGTGTAAACCCTCAGCCTAAGCTTTCTTGTGGCACCATGTGGCCGTGGTTTGTTGTGAGTATCACGTGGGCTCGCGTATGAAGGGCCTGGCAGCGTCTGGCCTGTGCAGTTGGTGTTCCACAAATCACCTGTCTTGGGTTTGTAGAGCTGTAGAACTTAAAAAGCAACTATTCCCTTAGAGCACCAAAAAGAATAAAGTACTTGGGGAAGAAGTTCAACCAAAGTATAAAACGTATATTTTGAAAATTACAAAATACTGTTGAAAGAAATTAAAGATGACCCAAATAAATGGAAAAGCATCCCAAGTTTGTGGATGAGAAGAATTTATGTTATTTAAACGGCAGTATACCTCACACTGATCGACCCACAGATGTGAAGTGAGCAAATGCTGTTGGAAAAATGGCGCCTGTAGACTTGCTTGACTCAGGTTTACCACAGACCTTCACTTTGACAAAACGCAGTGTCTGTGAAGTGCAAGAAAGTGAAGCACGATGCAACAGGGGATGTGGCGAAGGTAAAATTTCTCCAGGCAGAGGACCCAGCCAGCGAAGAGGTGTGGGGGGAAAAGACCTTGGCACATGGAAACGCGTGTGCACACTCTGCAGGCGGAGGCCCTAATGCAGACGGCACAGGGACAGACAGGACAGAGCCCGAGGCCTGAGCCTGCAGGCTGTACAGGCTGTGGTCAAGGTTTGCCTTTGATTCTGTGTGTGGCCAGAAGCCCCTGGAGGCTTTCAGGCTGAGAGTGGCAGATCAGACTGTAGCCCGAGCCTCTCCGACTGCTGCATGGGATGGAGCCGCGTGAGGAAGAAGTGGCAGCAGGGGGCTTGTCCGGATCTGTTGCTGTCTGGGCACCGGGTGACAGTGTCACATGTGAGGCAGCAGTGGTGTTGGAGGTGGTGGTCGAGAGAATCATTCCCAACTCCAGCCATACTTTGGAGCCACAGATGAGTGAGTAGGTGGGCTGGGAGATGTGAGGGGCAGAGGGACAGAGCACCAGGGCTTGGGGCTTGAGCAGTCCGATGGATGGCCAGGAGGAGGGCAGGAGGAAGCAGAGTCTGGCAGCAGGGCTGGGAGGAGCAGGCGGGGCAGTACCAGAAATCTCGTCTGCGCATGCTAGGCCTGGGACATCTGATGGATTTTCAGGTGGAAACAGTGAACCTAGAGCTCAGGGGAGGCCTCAGGGCTGGAGACACTTGGGAGTCATGGGGCTGGGCCATGCAGAGCCCCAGGCCTGTGTGTGCTCACCCGGGAGTTTGTGAGGGAGGGGAGAAGCCTGCGCCCACTTCTGAGCTGCTGCCCTGTTGTCTGGGGGCCTTTGACATTTCGTCCATCCCGACCTTGATGCTGGCGGGTCAGTCTCCTTCCCCCAGCCCTAGCTGCTCCCACTGCGGGCTTACGCATCTGCCCATTGACACTGTGCTAAGCGTGTCTACAATTTGCAGAAAGACTTAAGTCTGGGCTATGTGGAATCCTTCAGCTTAGCTGTTCTATTTTTCATTTCTCTTTTGAAACATGAGCTTTAACTTTGACAAAAAATACTTCAGGAGAGGACTAGGTGGTATAGTTTTGGGCAGAGCTTGCCACACTCCTGTTTATTTTTTAAAAAAGCTACCAGTTTGGGGGCACCTGGCTGGCTCAGTGGTTTAAGCCTCTGCCTTCAGCTCAGGTCATGATCTCAGAGTTCTGGGATCGAGCCCCGTATTGGGCTCTCTGCTCAGCAGGGAGCCTGCTTACCCCTCTCTCTATGCCAGACTCTCTGCCTACTTGTGATCTCTGACTGTCAAATAAATAAATAAAATCTAAAAAAAAATAAAGCCTCTGCCTTTGGCTCAGGTCATGGTCTTAGGGTCCTGGGATCGAGCCCCGCATCCGGCTCTCTGCTCAGCAGGGAACCTGCTTCCTCCTCTCTCTGCCTGCCTCTCTGCCTGCTTGTTCTCTCTCTCTGTGTCAAATAAATAAATAAATAATATTAAAAAAAAAAAGCCGCTGGCTTGGTTACTTTTCATGTAATCCACAGTATCAAGCAGCTCTGTGGTCATGCAGCCCTTCTGTCCTCATCAGATGTTAGGCCGCCTTCTTCCATATTCTTACTATGCCAGCACGAGGTCTTCATGGCCCTGTTTTTTGTTTTTTAAGATTTTATTTATTTCAGAGCAATCGACCTGGGAGTAGGGGAGGAGCAGAGAGAAAGAGAATCTGAAGCAGACTCCCCACTGAGAGCAGAGCCCCACAGGGACTTGATCTTGTGACCCTGAAATCATGATGAGCTGAAATCAAGAGACACTCAACCGACTGAGCCGCCCAGGCGCCCCCTTCCTGTTCCCGTCTACAGTTTGTTTCCTTACACTGGTTTCCCCTAGCGTTAAGATGGGTCTGGTTATTTGTGAATACTTCCTACACTTCTCCAGTGAGCCATGGTTCCTGCCCTCAGGGAGCTCACAATTGATGGGAAGGACAAGATTCCAGCCCCCGAGAACGTGAGCAGTGCCCTAAGAGAGGGCACTGGTGGGAAGAACAGAGATCCCCCAGAGGGGCTTCAGGAGGAAATGCCCTAAGAATTGAGTCTGGACCTAAAATGGAAATGATTCTAGACAGAGGGAACAGCGTGTGTAAATGCGCAGAGGCCAGAAAGCGTGGAGTGGAATGGGACGTTGGCAGTACAGTGCATGGAAAGGGCAGGAGTGCGGGGTCTCCAGCGGTCACGGCAGGTGGGGCCTGGCCAGGCAGAGGGCCTGCACATGGGGCCTGGTGCTGGGTTGAGGAGGGCTGTGTGGAGGGCGGCGGGAAGAGTACTGTGCTCCCCACTGAATGTTGCGGCGGCAGGCCGGGCGGCCCCCAACGGCTCCAGGGTCAGCAGCCTGCAGAGCACACATCCTCTTACCAAACTGTGCGCTCCAGCTCAGAATCCATTCATCCTTGGAGCTGATGTGAATGATGTTCCTGTGTGTCTAATTTTGGTGTTCTTACCCTTGACATCAGAGTAAAAGCTTGACGTGGATGCCATAATGAGGTCACATAGGAAACAGAGGGCTCTAAAGGTGGAGGTGGGGGGAGTTCGAAGTGCAAAGTTTGCTGCCTGAAGATCCCTCTCAGAAACACAGCCCCCCAGTTCCTACAGGTGCCTTTAGTCTCTCTTTTATATATCAGTAATATGTTTATTATATTTGCATGTATATTTATTATAAGTAAGTTAGGTATAAACATGTCTTTTATACATATAGGTCTAGCAAAAACACCATTTATTCTAAACTTAAGCTAAGTTCTAGATGACATGGAGGTTTTTTGTGATGATGTGTCTGGAGTGATACTTTGTATACGGGGTTGGCCTAAACTGCTTTCTCTGAATCGGTGCTGTCATATGTTCTGTTCCCTTATCAGTCTCAAAACAGAAACTCCGGACTGGTGCCCATCTCATGGGGCTGAGCTCAGCTCTGGGAAATTTCCTGAGGTTGAGGAAGAAAAGAAAAGCCGTACTTGGCAGTCCCCAACAAGCCTAGAGGCAACATTGAGACACCAGACGCAACATCAGCCTTTAGAAAGACCCCGTTACAGAGTCTGCCAGGGACAGATCCCTTCTGTCCACTCCCCTGTTCCCTCCGCAGCCCCCTTCAAGCCGGGCAGGACTCTCTAGTGTGGTCCTGGGTGGTACAGCCCTTCCTAGGAGCCTGAGCAGTTGGTTCACTTCAGAACGCCTCCATCCCCCGTTTGTGTGATTGCAGTCAAAAAGTTCTCTGGAACGTTTCTACACCTCCACTTAGCAGTTGGTGCTCAACGTCTATCCTGGAGTACACCAGAGAGTCTCAAAGGATGGACAAGCACACGGTGCCATTACGGCAGTGGGAAATCCACGTAACCGAGGTTCCTCCACAGCAGTGCAGGTCTGCAAGGAGCCTCGCATCCTTGCAGCAGACCGCTGCATGGCACTTTGAAAGAGGGAACCAGATCTAGGTGACTGAGGTAGGATAGTCTCCTGAGATACGGGGAAGTCAGAAACAGCAACACTGTTTCAGAACAGTATGCTAGACAGAAAGCACCCCCCACCCACAAAACCCCATGTTATTTCCAGACTGAAGTGTGGGGGAAGCAGGTACTTGCATCCCTGTGTGTATGTGAACACTCCAGGTCCAGTCTGTGAGGCCGCCTCACGGTGCTGACACTGGTTACTTCTGGGAGAGGAATAGGGTTAGGGAGCGGTATGTCATTTCCTCTATCTTCGTGAATGAGAAAGCCCATATATTTGGCAGTATTTAGAAAGCAGAGGCAGCGTGTGAGTGTGTTTTTGTGTTTTGAGGTAAAAATACACTTGAAGACTGGTTCTGGAGACTGTCCCTTTGGTTTGCAACCTCGCTGAGTTCACCGTGGCACTGACACTGTGTGAGATGCCTTCTCCACCCACACACGTGCACACACACACATGCACACACACGTCGAAGCGTGGTAGGGGAACCATGGTGTGGTGCCTCAGTAACCGGATGTGGAACAAGCTATAGGATCCTGTTCCATCCCATGTTCACAATGTGCCTGCATCCCAAGCCCTTCTCTTCTAAAATGAATTATTTTGCCTTCGGCTTTTCTCCTCCTTCTTCTTCCTCTTCTCCTCCTCTTCCTCCTCCTCCTCCTCATTCCTCTTCTTCTTCTTTTAACAGAAAAGGTTCCAGCCGAATCACAACCTGAACTGGGCACCTGGGGAGAGGGCAAAGGTGACGATGAATTATCCCCAGAAGAAATACAAATGGTAAGGTTTTTCTGCCCAGTCAGGTGTTGCTAACTGGTGTTAGTTAGGAGGTCATCCTAAATTCCCTTGCTTTGACTGTCATATCAGGTAATAAATAAATAGTTATAAATAAATATTTTAGATACAACTTTTCCACCTGATTTCCTGATTCTTAATATGCTTTTCATAAGTTTTAAATTTGCAGTAGCATAATTAAAGAAGAAATTGCCTTGGAATAATTTTACTAATATTAGATTTATTTTCAGCTGCAGTAAAAGAGTTCTCCAGACTAAATGGGTCTTTTATAATTACTGCTGGGGTGCTTTTTAATTGTTTGCACTGCCGGTGTTGTGCTAATGTGGAGAAAGCAGAAGTGATGACTGAAAAATGAAGAGCAACACCGGAAACACCGAGGTCTAGTTGCCAGTTGTAGGCTGTCCTCTCTGGGTGAGTTTCAAAAGGAAACTGATAGGTCTGGCACAGGCCCCTGCCGGCTCATTTACAGCAGTGTCTGTGTACACTTCGTGCAGACGTTGGCATGACCAAGCTGAATGGATCTGTCTTCCTGGGGCAGGGAGCAGTGTTCCCTAGAGTGGCCCTGGTGTGACACTGTCCTCCACCTACGGAGCTGGGAACCAACCTCCCACAGGCACACTTTGAGTGACTCTACCTGACAAATGACAACACCTTAACTTGTGCAGCGGTTGACGGGGGGACGGAACTTCACTGGTATCATCATCTCTGTGACCCTGTCACTAGTCACGCTCAGGTGGGGGCGCAGCAGCATCTCCTGTTCACTTGGGCAAAAAGCAGTAGTGTCTGGCCCAAGGTCCTGGTAATAAGTGGAAGAGCTTACTAACCCTCCATCCCCAGATTTCTAACCTTTCTCCTTTTCCAGAAGAGAGAGGGAGTAGAGCTCTGAGGCAAAGCTGTGTCAAGTAAGAGAGGGATCCTTGAGCCTTGAGCCTCGTGGACTGAGGCGTCTGTGTTGTCAGGCTCGTTCTCCTCACTGTTGTCTTCATAGCTTGCAGGTCTCAACTCTTAGATCCTCAGAGAGGCCTTCCCGACCACCCAACCTGCAGTGGCCCGCAGCCCCTCTGTCCCTGTACCCCATTTTATTCCCTCATCCCTCCACTAGAATGCAAGGGCCTCGAGAGCAGGAGCTTGTCTGCTTTTGTGGCCATGTTCCTAGAGCCTAGAACAGTGTTCTAATGATGAGTGCTTTTGATGAGTAGGATCATCAGTAAGCATTACTAGAACATTCTAACTACTGCTATTATGTGTACTTATGAATGCCCCCTATATGCCGAGCCTTTTACATATGTTCTCTTGTGTGGCAAGCTGACATGGGCAGCCTGGCAGAGGAGTCATCCTCGCAGGCTCCACTGAGCGGTGGTACACACACGGGTCTGCAGCCTGGGCCCCGTGAGGGTGGCCCAGTGCACGGGTCCACTCCCTAGGATATCAGCTGCCAGGGCAGAGCACTGGCTCAGAATCTTCTTGCTCTCCAGACTTGCTGTTTCTTCTCCAAGCCCGAATTAGGACTGACCCACGGTGGGGCTGATGACTGAGCGAGCTGCCTGGGAGGGTTGTGTGTCATGGTGCCAGGCATGCAGCACGTGCTCACGAGTTCCCCCACCTCTCCCTGGCAGGCCAGCTGTCTGCTGCGCAGGGCAGAAGAGACTGGCCTGTGCACAGGCTCTCAGGTCACCGCCGCACATGTGCAGAGAGCACTGAGTGAGGGTGATACACGTGGCAGCTGGAGCTCAGTGGAGTTTCATACGTATTTTTTTTTAAGATTTTATTTATTTGACAGACAAAGATCACAAGCAAGCAGAGAGGCAGACGGGGGGTGGGGGGTGGAAGCAGGCTCCCTGTGGAGCAAAAAGCCTGATGTGGGGCTTGATCCCAGGACCCTGGGATCATGATCCGAGCCAAAGGCAGAGGCTTTAACCTACTGAGCCACCCAGATGCCCCGTTTCATATGTATTTTATACACAATCTGGTTTCACAAACATTTACCACCCCTCCCTCCCAGACAACTAGTTTCCTCTTTAAAATTGTCAGCTTAGAAGCACAAGTGGTTTCCTCTTTAAAATTGTCAGCTTAGAAGCATAGAACTGATCCCAGTGATAGTACTACTGGCTATGACTTTCCTAGGACTTGCTTTGGGGTGTTCCCTTGGAGCCTGTGGTATTTGCTTTGGAATACCAAGCAGAGCTATCTTTGTAATTCTGAGTTAAGGGGCTAAGTCAACAACTTCAAGTGGCTTTGCCAGGCCCCTGCCTTCCTCTAGATTCTCCGGCATTCCAGAGTGCACCCTCTGAGTAGGTGCTCCGTGGTCCCCAGGCCCTGCAGATGTGGCAGCCGGAAGCCTTGAGTATGGAGGGTGGCTGGGGAGGGACTGTGGTGTGGATTCCAGTTAGTCAGGAGGCGACGAGGCGTGCGTCCGGGCACAGCTGTGGAGGCAAGAATGAGAAAAGTGCTGGGAGACTGGACTGGGAGGAGGAGCCTGGAGCTTTCCGACTTGGGGAAATGATGCTGGCAGTCAGAAGGGAGAGCAGGCTGGGCAGGGTAGGGGATGCCAAATTTCGCTTTAGACACCCTCTGGGACATCCGTGGGAAATGTCTGGTGGGCAGTAGGAGTTGAGGCTCAGGCTAGAGATGTGAATGTGGGGGACATCCTACTGCTGATGTTTGAAACAGTGCATCCTGGGGAGAAGGAGCAAGGCAAAGGACAGCGCCTTTGGGGACCCTCCACAGGGAGGAAGGCTGAGGTGGAGAAGCCAGCCCATGGAAGTGAAGGGCAGTTAGATCATACTCCCTTCTCCTATAGCCAAATGATGGCAGAAGTTTCTTAAAATCTCAGTTTCTCTTCAGTTTGTACACAATTTTATTAATGAAAGTAATGATCTCACGTTCCCCCAAATAATGTAACAGGACCCGCATTTCTGTGCTGGAGAAAAAATACGCATAGCTCTGTCCCTTGAATGATTTGTACGTCGGCAGAATTTACCTTCTGTTTAGGTTTTTTTTTTTTTTTTTTCCTTTTATACACTTCATAAATGAAGTAGCTAGAGTAAGAATCAGAAGTTTGCCTTTCTCCTGTAGGTAGTGGTGAGCAGCAGAAGTTTGTTAACCTTTGCTAATGCCTGACCTTTAGAAGCCTCTAAAAGCATGCTGGGGTGGGCCAGAGAAAGGCTGGCAGCAAGGATGTCTGTAATCCACTGATGCCCTATCCCAGCAAGAGATGACAAAAGCGCGTGGGCTCAGGGACTCGATAGAGTCTGTTACAAATCCTCTTTATATCACTGTCTGTCTGTAATTTGGGGCAAGAAGATTTGCCTCACTGGACTTGATTGTGGCAAGAACCACCACCCCACAGAATTGCTGGGAATGCAGAGTACCTGGCAGCATGCAGGGTCCATGGGAGCTGCTCAGCTTGTGTTGGCCCCTGGGCACACCTGCATTCACTGTGCCTCTCCAGAAGGGGATGTAGACAACGCAGAGGAAGAGCAAAGGGTCCCATCATTAGGCTTTTCTGTACTTAATGACTGCTGGTGCCCCGTCCTTCCACTTCCTTGTTGGGTCCTGAGTCCCTGTCTGTAAACATGCTACCGACCGTTCCCAATACTGCTAGTTATTTCAGGGTCTCAGGATCAGTGACTGAAGCCATCGGAACCAGCAAGTGCTCCCTAATTTGTTCGGGGTTCCTGCAAGTGGATTGGGCAGAAGGAGGTGACACGCAGAACTTTGAGGGCCGCCTATTTAATGCTCACTTAACCTCTTCCTTAATTGGGAGTGATGGCCAAGTTCCGTATCTTACAGTCTGGCCAACCCAAATCTTACTTAACACACTCAACCCTGAACATGAAAAGAAGCAGGGCACTATTGGTTTTAAATTGGCAAGTGTTGTAGCAAATTGTGGTCATAATTCATAATCACTGTTTTTGGAATTTTTCCTCAGGGTAAAATAGTGAATTAAGCCCTATAATACCAATTTAATTCATTATTTCACCCATAGGAGCAGTTGTTACATGTTCCAAAATGGTTGCAGAGTGTTATATGGTTTGCACAGTAAATTTCCATTTATAACCCATGATGCAGGTATATTAACGTTTGAGTTAATATAAGCAGATGTTTTGTGGTCAGGCTGAGTGAAACCAAATTGTTTTCTGATGTTACTTAGAGAAAATACCTCCTTTTCTAAGGCTGCATTCATTTTTCTTGCTTCAAGTGAAACCACCTGCATTAATTGATGTATTCCCCAACATGATTTTTAAAGACGTGCGTGTGACTTCTGTTCTCAAATCTGCATGAAAGGTGTCCCTAGCCCCTGTTCCCTGTGCTAGCCCCTAGAAGCACTAAGTGCCCGGCTGGCAGGGCTTGTGATCTGTGGCCGCCCTCCTGGTGAGAGTTGTTGGTAGCATCTGGGCACTACACGGCTGAGAGCTGAAGTCCACACCTTGGGAAGGTTTCGGGTTCACAGGGGCAGACGTGGGGGTGGAGGTGAGGGTCACAGAGCCATGAGTGTGAAGCTGTTTGGCACAGAGAAATCCTATCTGGAAGACCCCTGAGAGGTCCTGGGCCAAGGGGGCAGAGTGCTTTCTGGGCTGAGTCCCTGTAGGTTCCAGCCCCTGTGGGTTCACAGTCTTCTGTTCAGTTTGCTGCTCTTGCCTCTTTGCAATGCAGATAACCTCTTCTGGCCTCGTTTTATACTCAAAGGCCTTTGTAGGAGTGATTTTCTTCTTAAAACTATAGTAAAGAAGATTAGATTAGAAAAGGATTTCTGTAACAATGTATTCACAATGTGGATTTGTAGCCTTTAAACCAGATTATAAACCCTTTTGGGGCCCCCTATTTGGAAGTCTAACTGACTTCTAAATGGAATCAAGCGGTTAAATAATAGTGCCTAACACGCATGTAACACACACCACATGCCAGGTAGTTGAGCGTTCATTAGTGTGTGCCACCCCGTGTGGTAGGTTCTGTTGCTGGCCCCATTTCCTGGAGAGCTCCCATTCCTAACCTTTAACTGTGGTGCCTTCCACCGTGGTTGTGGGGTTGGGGGAGGTTGCTGGGGGCGTTGGGTCTGTGCTGAGAGCAGACACTGCATTTTGGTGTAAGACCAAACAAGATGGAGTGGAAAGAGCCATGGCAGGAGGCCCACAAAGACAATCTGGCTGCTCTCATGCCTCTCGGGCCCTCTTTGTCCACCTTACCCATCAAGTAGGCCTCACGTCCCCCTTTCCAGTGCCTCACAGAGATGGGTGACACGTATCTTAGACCCCGGGGGGGATTTGCCTTCCCAGGGCCTATAGGTACCCCTGTCCTTGGTGCTGACCATGGAGCCCAGGCCTTGCTGGGTACCGCTCCTTGTGAAGTCCCCATCCCCCTGGGGGCACAGATGCCAGCAGCTGCCAGGGAGCCCCAGTGACTGTGGTGTAAGTGTTTCTCATGCTGGAGCAAGTGAGATGACACAAGTGAGAGTCACAGCGGCTCTCTAAAGTTTGAAACCAGAGAGGTGGAAGGGGCCTTCAGAGCATTTCATGACTCATTTAGCAGATCTGGAATCTCACTCCTGGAGAAATTAAATAATAATAACTTGCACTCAGTGAGAGCTTCCTGTGAGCCATGCACTTTGTAAGCCACTTATATGTATTCGCACATCTTCCTCTTAAGAACTGCTAACTAGGGTGCCTGGGTGGCTCAGTGGGTTAAAGAACTGCTAACTAAGTCATGTTAGCATCCCGTTTTAGTGATGAAGACGGACACAGGAAAGTTAGCTGCCCAAGGGTGTCCAGCTTAGAAAGTAAAGGAGCCCTCCTTCCCCACCCTCGGCATCATCACCGCCTCTCTTGACGAAGAGGCCTGGTCACACGACAGGCCCAACAGAAGCCAGTGACCGGTCCAGGGTCATCCAGGAGTTGCCACGAGGCTGTAGGGGCTGGCTCACTGAAGTCCCAGGCATGTCCCCAACCAGCCCCTGCCGGCCAGCATTTGCCACTCCCTGTCTTACTCAGCAGATGAGAGGAGAGGTGTACGGGTTTGCCACCAAGGCAGCTTTGAAAACCACCCTGAGATCTGGTGCAAGGAGTGTTGTCAGCGGCCTGACCACTGCCTGATCTGCCCGAGACCCACAAGGTTTCATGAACTGACCACCTTGCACTTGGCTATGGGAAAGAGGTTTTGTTGTTTTTGGAAAACACAGTGTCATTGTAACTCCCACCCCCAGTGGAGGCCACTTTCCATGAAGGTCTTGGCCTCGGCGAACCTCTCTCCTCAGCGCTATTGCCGCTTGGTCCCTCGAGGCATTAGTTTCTCCCACTTCCTCCAGGGACTGGGTACTTGCCGGTGGCCTTAAGAACCCAAAGCTTGAAAGGAAATGAGAGCCAGAATCTGGTCCCACTCCTGAGCAGGGCTGACAGGAGTCCTTCAGAGGTAATAGTTACACGGAGGCCTAGAAGGATGTGCAGCAGGGGCCACGTGCCCTGGAGTTGGGGTGGAACAGAGAGCTTTGTTCCCAGGGGACTTTCCCATAATAAACCACCTCAAGCCCCTAGTTAATCTTGCTTAGGAACAGTTTAAAAAGCATAAAAGGGCTGAGGATTTAAAAGGACAGGGCCATATTTTGTCATTAGAAAAATAAGAAAATGCCGCCAGCAAAAATAAATAAAAACCCTAAGTAGTACCTGGGAGAATTATTGAAAATAAATTAGCACCTACATGCCGAAGTCACTGTATTTTTTCCTTAAATACTGCACTCAAGTAACTGTTGACAGTTAACAGAGCTGATACTTTCAAAGTCTGAAGTGAAGTTTCTATTCCCGTAAGTAACCCGCTGCATGCATAAGGGGAAGGGCCATCTGCGTGCATTGTCAGCAGCCGGCAAGGCTGCCGGGGGGCTTAGGGCGGCCCTGCATGTGCTTCCCCAGCACTTCTCCCTTTCTACAAGCTGAGCCAGCCCCCTGCATCCCTGGTCTTCTGACCCAGTGGGTCTGGGGTGGAGCAAAGGTGTCTTGGTTTTCGAACAAGCAGCGGGGCTGGGGACCAGTGCCATGGAGTGTGTCAGGCCCTGCCCTGCGCTGAGAGGCCAGAGAAGAAGTCCCCGCCCCAGGAGGGAAGACGCCAGAATGGGGGCAACAAGTGCAGCTGATGGGCCAAGTGCAGAGGAGCTTTTTTGATAAGAGGAGATGGAGGAAGGTGATTCATTCTGCCTCAGGTGCCTGGTCACTAGGAAGGTGCCTAACAAGCTCTCCGCCAGCCTGTGCAGAGGTGGGGCAGCAGGCCACAGGAGAAGGCCACACCTCTGCACTGATCTGCGGGCCATGGGACAGGGCTGGCGTGCTGCCAAGTGACGTGACTAGCATCTTAGTTCACTCTGACCCCTCAAGGAGTGGGGGACAGATCAGAGGAGACTGAAAGATGATGAGGATGGAGCTTAGGTGCCAGGCAAAGAATGGGTGCAGCAAGGGTGTGGCGGATGGGACAGAGGACACCTGCGTGGAGGGCTGGAGGGACGAGTGGAGGACTGTTAAGAGGCCCTGCCCATGGAAGTGACCCCCACCACCACCAACCCATGTCTCCAGTGAGTGGGAGTGAGCAAGGCACAGGGAGGACAGGGAAACCCAGGGAGGGGTGAGGAGGTGTAGCAAAGGCAGCAGCCCGGGCAGGTACAGGGGTGAGTGAGCACAGCTGCTTCCCTCCCTGTGAGGGAAGCCAGAAGAAGTGGCAGGGAGACTGTGAGTCCCTGCGGTGACGAGCTCAGCACGGCCTCCATTGTTTTACTGAGCAAGGGGTAGCAGGATCTTCAGTCAAATGGCAAAGCCTCTGGATGGCGAGAGCTTGCTTCCACTTGTTCCCTGCGCAGCGCCTGCCACAGACAGATCCTCAGAAAGTTTCTGTGGATGCAGCTGCAGCTTTAACAGATGTGAAAGGAAGAGTGGGTGTGTGGCCTTTTCAGAGTTGGGTTTGACTCAGGTCCCACCCTCAGGCAGCTCACAGTCCCACAGGGAGTTGGGGATGTGCACAGCTTCTGACAAGGCCTGAGATATGCAAAGAGATGTTCGGAAGGTGCTAGGCCAAGGTTAGAAAAATGAGAACTAGCTTCAAGTCCGGGGGCCCGGGATAGGTCACGGAGAAGGTGGCCTTTGGGCCGGGTCTGTGGGAACCCTGCCCCAGAGTTGAGTGGGCATGGGAAGGCGGAGTGCTTGGTCCTGTAGGTGAGGGGGTGGAGATCGGCTGGCCCCACACCATGGCGAAGCTTCAGACACACTGTCCTTTGTTGGGCCAGAGTCAAGCTGGCAAGAACGGACGGGGAGAGCTGCCTGCTTCACAGAGTCACTTTGGCTCCAGCAAGTTCCTGCGTATTAGGGCAGCATCCTTACCCGGACTGCATCCCGAAGACTGATCACTAGCCTGAGCCCTGGGAACACGGCTCCTCTGGCTCCTGAGCCTGTGTTCCAGTCATGGGGTTAGCCAAGCACAGCTCTGAAATCACACTGCCCTGCTCTCAGCTAAGTTGCTGGACCTCACCACTCCACTTAAAACAGATGGACCCAGCAGCAGACAGCACAGGCCTGTGGGAGCCAGAGGAGAGCAGTGGGAGGAATGACAGCTCCCCGCGCCCCCCTCCACCGTGCCTCCAGGCTCACCTTCGTGGGCATCAGGGCGGCTCCCAGGCAGGGACGAGTCCAGCCGCAGGGATGTTGTCATGCTGATGTTGGAAGGAGGGCCTCGGTGGCGATCCTTAGAGGGCAGATCAAAGATTTCCGTGCAGAGGCCTTGCTAGACACTTGCCTCTGGCTGTGTTGGGTATCACATCACCCTTCATGTGTTTGTTTCCTCACAGTTTGAACAAGAAAACCAGCGCCTCATTGGTGAAATGAACAGCCTGTTCGATGAAGTGAGGTGTGTATGTGGTTTCTCCAGGCTGCTGGCCTCCGGGATAGCTTTCCCAGAAATGGGGAATAAATTCACTTTGGTGCCACGGTGTCCGCTTGTGGCCCTGGCCACATGCACCCCCCCCTCCCCGAGCCATTTGGAGGTGAAGGCAGGTGCCCAACTTTACTGACTTCTGTCACCTTGTGGGCCCCCCTTTCATCACCCCTTTCATGCTATTCCCAGTGACCTCAAGCAGATTGCACTAGATACTGGGGGGGGGGGGAGCATGGGGGCTGTTGCGCCTCATGACTCCCAGTGAGATGGGGGCCTTGTGATGAACCACCAGCCAGGGGCAGCCTCCTGCTCTTGGCCCTGCCAGGGTCTGTCTGCTCCCTCAGCACAGGGGTCGGCAGCACCAAAGGCAAGTGGCTGTGTTTGCCCATGTGAACCATCGCTGGCTGGTCCTCAGGGGAAGCACTTGGGGCCTGTTTCCCCAAGAATGTTTGAAGCATCCGAATGGGAAGCCCTGCTGCTCTGTGGGCTCATCCCAAGAGAAAATGCCTCCCGGCACTGTACCCACACAGCCCTGGGGACTCCGCATGCAGGTGTTTCCCTCTGACAGCACCCGGCCTGTGCTCTTCTGTAGCCTTTGTCTTTCTTCCGTGGGCCTCCTGGTCCTTGTTCTGACACTCCACCCTCACCATCCCTGCCCCTGTACACCTCGCTCTCCCTTCCTACACCTCGAAGCCCTGGGAGGAGTGGCTGCCTCCTGCCCTTACACAGCAGGCCTCTTGGGCTGGGAGCTCATCCTCATTTCTAGGCCTGCTCAAGCCCCAGCCCACCCCTGGGACACCCTTGCTGCCCCTGAACAGGAAGCCCAGACACTTGGTTGCTGGACCCAGATAGATTTTTCAGATGGAATCAGAGTTTTTCCTTTCAACAGGAAGTTGGTTAGAGTGGCAGATAGACTCTCCCTTAACCTACTGAGCAGTAACAAAGTTGAGTTGTCAGCACATTCTGGTGCTTTCTTTTGAATCCCCACCATGTTACTGTGGTTACTAGGCTGGGTACAGGCCTTCTAGAAGACTGCCTTTTGTAACCGGGGCATGGACTCCACACCAGGGCCCTGCGGGTCAGCTTCCAGGGGAGGACGGGGTTCCAAATTGCACAATACCCTCCAAACTGAGAGACTTCATAGGAGAGACGAGAAGTAAAACGTCTGTCTCCTCTCCCAAGCTTGACATGGTGCCCCATCCCTCTCACGGATGACACGCTGTCCCTTTCCCTCTCTGGAGGCTGTGGTGGTGTCCCCTCCATTTCTCACTTAGACGATCCCTTTAGAAATGCGTAGCATTCTTGTTAGGACTACCAAGTATTAATGGTTGTCTGTAACCTCTTTTTTTTGTTCCCCCTAAATGAAGGCAAATCGAAGGGAGAGTGGTTGAAATTTCCAGACTCCAGGAGATATTCACAGAGAAGGTTTTACAACAGGTAAGGAAGAAAAAAAAAATCGTTGTTCAAAGTGTTAGCATCAAAGAATGAACTGTGAAGTCCAGCCGTTCCTTGTGAGCCGGCCTGGTCTCTGCGCCCGAGCACCCAGAGCCCTGTGCACGCAGCCCATGTGCGCTCAAGGGGCTCCTCAGGGGAGGGCCTCCTGTCCCCCTGGTGCAGCCTCTGTGCGTGGCAGGGACGTCTCTGCTCTCGGGTGGCCCAGACCCAACTGAGGGTCCAGCCCGGGTGTTTGGTGGAGCACACGAAGGTGGCGGGAGTCAGGTCACTCTTCGTTCTGGATGCCCTCAGGGAACCAGGCCGGCCTGCCAGCTCTGCAGGGCTGTACCCTTGCAGGGCTGCTGTAAGTCTCAGAGGTGGCCCCCAGAAGGCCCCCAGCACAGCACCTGCTGGGGGAGTAGCTTCTGAGTTGGCCTTTACGAGAGCCCAGACTTGGTCCTCTCCAATTACCAGGTCTGTGCCCTCAGGTGTCACATCCACACAGCAAACAGGATCATTCTTCTAAGAGGATTTTATGTTACGTGTACCTGCCTCCCCTGCTGAAATCTCTCCAGCCAGTAACACAAAGCTGTTATAGACCTGATCGGTTTGTCCTTTTGTTTATAATACCCACAGACCGTGGAAAGGTTTCAGAGACAAAATCACTTTGCTCCATTGTAGGAAACTGGGCTCATTGGCTTATACCTCACTCCTAAAACCTGCCCTGAACATCAGAGCCCGAGTCGAGTCATTGTAAATTAGGTACATGAAGCCTAACAGTTTGGAAGTTCACGTTCAGAAGAGATGTCCTTTTTAACAGCCCGCTGAAGGAACTCTTCAGGCGTGTGTATGCTCACCTTCACGTAGAAGCCTCCTGACATATTCAACAGTGAAGTCAGCTGTCCCTGTCAGAGCACACGCCTTGTTTCTAGAGGCATCTCAGCATGGGAGGAGAGCTCAGAGGCCAGGGAGGGTCAGACAGACTGGCTCCAACCCGGGGTGCCCTGAGCCACGCCACCCTCCACAGAGCGGAGCAGGTGTCCCCTGTGTCACCCTTAGAGCTGGTATAGAGGTACACATGCCTGGCTCATGGCAGCCTATCAGTACATGGGAGCTAATGTTTGTACATTTTAGCTCCTCCCCCCCCCTTTTTTTTTTAAAGATTTTATTTATTTGACAGAGATCACAAGCAGGTAGAGAGGCAGAGAGAGAGGAGGGGAAGCAGGCTTCCCGCTGAGCAGAGAGCCCGACACGGGGCTCGATCCCAGGACCCAAAGACCACGGACGACCTGAGCCAAAGGCAGAGGCTCAACCCACTGAGCCACCCAGGTGCCCCAGCTCCCCCTTTTTTTTAAAGGTTTTATTTATTTACTTGAGAGAAAGAGAGATAGTGACAGATAGCAAGAACAAGCACAACCAGGGAGGAGAGGGAGAAGCAGGCTCCCGCTGAACAGGGAGTTGGACATGGAGCTCAATCCCAGGACCCTGGAACCATGAGCTGAGTAGAAGGCAGAGGTTTAACTGACTAAGCCACCCAGGTGCCTTAGTTTTGTGTTTTGTTTTCTTCCTTTTTCTAAGAGAGACACAAAATAGTGAAGTACAAAGCACTTTCCTAGAGCTAACGTGGAGTTTGTTTTTTGTTTTGTTTTGGTAATTTTTTTTTTAAGATTATTTATTTATTTATTTGACAGACAGAAATCATAAGTAGAGAGGCAGGCAGAGAGAGAGGAGGAAGCAGGTTCCTTGCTGAGCAGAGAGCCCTGATGTGGGGCTCAATCCCAGGACCCTGAGATCATGACCTGAGCCGAAGCCAGAGGCTTTAACCCACTGAGCCACCCAGGCGCCCCGAGGAGCTAACGTGTTTGAAAGCACACGCATTTGGAGGCGTTTGTCTCTGGACGTCCAAAGAGTAGAGGAGAGAGAAGAAAAGCCCCTGGCTTTTGGTGGCTACTGTAGCCAGCAGCTCTCATGTTTGTCCCTTCTTGACCAGCAAGTGGGACAGCAGGTGGCAGCTGGGGGTGCATGGGGCACAGGCACTGGGTTCCAGTCCTGGTCCTGCCACATGCTTGCTGTGTGACTTCGGGCGAGTTACTAAACTTCTCTGAACCCTAAATTTCCCTTTTTCAAAATGGGGATGCTGCCTACCCCTCGGGGCACCGTGAGGACTCGTGGGCTCATGTGTGTAAAGTCCCAGTCCTCCCTAAGTGGCAGCTACTGGCTTCTGATGTCTGTACACTTGGGGAAAGAGAGACTGTTTTGGTTTACCTGTCACTGTCCTTCCACAGGAAGCCGAGATCGACAGCATTCACCAGTTAGTTGTCGGAGCAACTGAGAATATCAAGGAGGGTAATGAAGACATCAGAGAGGTGAGTACTCTTGGGCCCCCCAGGTCTCCCCAGTGTGGCACCACGTCTGGGCAACAGCCGTCGTCTTGCTGGCATGGCTGCCTGAGTGCCTTGCTGGGGCCCAACCCCCAGGGCTCACCTGATGGCACCACACAGTCTCATCTCCATCCCCACCAAACCCTGGGCCCCCACTATTGCCAAGAGACATGACTCACGGCCCTCCAAAGGAGCAGTGAGAGGCGTATGAGGTCACTCTTGGCAAGGGCTGGACCAGATCCCTAAAGCCAGGGGTGGGCTCCACTGGAGAAGCTTCTTAAAACCCCTCCCTACCCCAAGGGCCAAAGCCTTGGTTCCTGTTTTTTGGGGCCACCATGGTAGACTGTCCTCTGTGTGTGGTGCTCAGGCTGGGTTGACATGGGGCCACCACTGGCACTGTACTCCCGGGGGACTGCAGCCTGGCCAGTCCTGGTGCGCTTGGTCGGTGCATGTGGTTTTAACTCTGGGATACACGTGGACCGTTTCTGGGTGTTTCCTGGGAGAAACAGGGAAATACCTGTTTGCCTACGGATTCTAGACCCACTCTGTGGTTTTGCCTAATAATTACGGCCAGCATAGGCTCCAGCGATAACGCTGCTCCCGCCCAGTGGAGGGAGAGTGTGCAGACAGGTGGAGTGCTGGAGGGCTTTGACACCAGGATCCCCTGTGATGCAAATCCCTGTGCTCCTCCTCCCCACCCCTCCCAGGCCATTAAAAACAACGCTGGCTTCCGAGTGTGGGTCCTCTTCTTCCTGGTGATGTGCTCCTTCTCCCTACTCTTCCTGGACTGGTATGACAGCTAGCCTGTCCGGCTGCTCCTGGCGGATGGTGCGTTGTCAAGGGTCACCGGGATGGGAGCGGGACTGTGAGATTTCATCACCGCACCATTCAGGGGGGAGGGGGCTGGGACAGAGGCACACTGTCACAGAAGGAACACCCAGACCTGTGGGTTTAAGCCCATTTGGTAGCGGAAAGAGAAAATAACACAAGTGGAAAGTGGCCTATATAGCAGCAATCCTGACTTGAGGTGGGGTGGGGGGGCTCACCGGCTGCACCTACAGCTGCAGGCCCGGGGCTCAGGGAGGCTCTTGCCTTGCCCTTCCAGCGGCTTCGGGGAAAAGTGCCGGTTGGTAACTTCTCACAATGATCATTTCTTTGTTTCCTGTGGCTTCTTCTCTGCCTGAGCCCTGTGATAGCCTCACTATATTCTAGAAACAAACCTTTGTCCTGTTAATGTAATAAATGCACCTAGAGCTACTTCGTGTCCTGTTAGTGGGTCACAGAAGTGCAGCTGACGCCTGCCTGCTGGGTGGGGAAGAAGGGTGGGGACAGACTCTGGACACTCAGGAGGGGCCCCCTGGAGCTTGTGTCCAGAGCCAGAACCTGGCCTACGGCTCCCCGACCTGTGTGCCTGACCCTTGAGGAAACAGGAGCACCAGTTTGCAGTGGGAAGTTCGAGACTTCTGGAGCCACTTTGGTGCAGAAGCTCGCTGGTGGTCCGTGGGGCCCCACGCCTGTGTGCGATACTGACTGTCGCGCAGCTGCGGGCTCCTTGTGTTCCTTGTTTGCACAGAGCGAAAGTGTTGGAAGTTACCTGTGAGTGAGTTTACAGCCAATAAAACATCTAGATGGTACCAAGGGGTGTGTTGCTTTAGTAGTGCACATACATGGGCCTGGCCACGCTCACAGACATGTGGTCCCTGCTCACCGAGGGACCTCGCAGCCTTTATTGCATGCGCAGCTCAGGCTCGCTACCCGCCCTACTTCCAGCCCCAAGCCCACAGCCATGGTTTCAGAACACCCTTGATAATGAAATCAGGTTTTGGAAACAGTAATGGAGTCGACTGTGATCACCATGCTTGTTTGCAACAGGTCTTGCACTAGTTGTCATTTATTTTTGATCTACTAAAAAACAGTGAAATGTTTGACATGTCCACCAGAAACAACACATTCAAATAACATGGAAGAAAATGTCTGTGAATGTCTTTTTTTCTATTTAATCATCTTACATACTTATCTAACTGGCAATTTTGTAAACATGTACTTTAATGTCAAGATTCAGGTTGAAACATCATTTTCTTACAAAGATTGTGAATTGAAATGTCATCATTGGGTTTGCAAGTTGCCACACCAGCCCCTCTCAGCCTTTCCTGCCTGCTTCTACAGTAAAGGAGTTCTGGTTCACAAAATAAGTCAGTCTTGGCTCCCCAGCAATTACATTTTCACTTTTCCAACACAAATAAGTTTTTGAAAACTAACTTGCTAACAGGGCTACTGGTGCAAATTTATTCATAACCAAAGAGAACAAAAAGACCAAAGGGGTTTTGTTCCTATTCAACACGTCACAGAGCAGACGGACTACCTATGGGGGGACAGAGTCCTGGAGCCCGCGGCCCAGGGACCACTCTTTCCACAGCCTCACGTGCGCTGGAGCGAAACACAGTGCTCTCCACCCAAGATGCCAACTCCGGTGGGGCAGGGGGGAATAGAGACCCCGAGTGTTCGGCAGCGGGACACGTGCACACATAGGGATGAGCACTGGGAAGGAAGGGGTGCATCCGCTCCCGGATGTCCTGTTTTCCTTCCTTCTCTATACCTCTCACTACTGTGCATCTCAGCGATGGCCCTGTTGCCGCCTGACTGAAGGTTGGAAGAAATTCTGAAGTACAGCTTGCTCTTAGCAACATGGGATCACTGTGAATATGGCTGTGGACTGAGGACTGCAAACGGCAAGGGCGGGGGGGGGGGCGGGCGGGGCGTGTAAAATAAATCAGTTCCACAAAATTCATTATTTGTCTGAATCCAAACCCCTTGCATATCCAGTGTAAATTTGTTTTTTGATAGCTTCCAATAAGTCCCAGTAAAGTAGCTAAATGGAGATTCCTTAACATGGAAGGTGGTGTCGGAGCTCTTTAAGCTGCGCTGATATGCCGTGGTTTTATGCCCATGAGCGGCCAGCGGCAGAGGCTGTATTTGCAAAGCAGTAGCAGCAAATGGAAGCGGCTGCACCATAAATGAGTAACCTCTAAAGTATCGGTAATTACATTTAATGAAACGTCCCTCCGAGTCCCTTGGTTACCTTCAAGTGACACCTCATAAGGAACCTGCCCGTCTCACTGAGCGGACTTCTCAGCGGTTTCGGTCTCCTGCTCAGACAGCTTCTCTTCCGACAGAACAGACACCCAGGGGGAGACCGAGCGCGTGATGCTCTGCTTGGCCAGGTTGTAGTGGTTGATGACGGTGTAAAACTTCTCCCGGGCGCTGGAGTCTTGCTCCGCATAGTAGCTCTCCAAGCCTTCTGGAATGCACTGCGTGTTCTGAAAAACAAGAGGCCGCTGAGACACAGGCACCGAGGCTGGAGGGGAGGCCAGCGTGTGTCTCCAGGTAACACCTCACAGATGTTTACCAAGCACCTTCCCAGGGCCGAGAGGAGAAAAAGAATGATCTGAAAAAGCGGGAAGGGGTCCTGCCTTTGGCACAGCCCAGCAACCACCGGACACCGATTTAGGGAGGTGACAGGGTCAACCTCCCTAACAAGGCCAGGACACAGCAGTCCTTGGGCTCCGGGGGCATGTGTGTAATGACTGTGGGCCTTCCTGCTTCTCTAAAGATCTCACCCTGGTTGTCATTTTATCTTCCATCTACCAGAAACCACATAGTCAAGTAGTGAAGGGAGGGAAGTCGGAAAGGCCTCCTGGGAGCTAGGCTTTTAACAGGGGAGGCGGAAGGAGAGTGCTGGAGGCAGAGGAGACCGGCCTCGAAGACAGTCCACAGCACCACGAGGAACACACTGGGAAGAGTGACCTGGGTCCCAGAGGCAGCCACATAAGGCCTGCAAGGTCCTGTGAGGGAGCAGTGTGACCTTATGATCCAGAGAGCAGCAAGATGTCCCCGAGGACCCCAGACAGCCTGCTGGGGTGGGGAGGGGCTATCCCGGACAGCTGTCCACAAAGGAAGAGGCTCTGCCCCTAGAAGCAACAGAACCCTGGGGAGATAAGGGGTGGGGAGACCATCAGCTCTCATCAGTTGGTAAAAGGTCTGGGACCCCCAAAAGTTAAAACCCTGCACCCCAGGCTGCCTTTCCTTATCAATCCAGGAGCCAAGCTAAGCCACTGCCCCACCACGGCTGACATGGCCAGCCCACACGACAAGAGGTAGAGCTCAGGCCCACAAGAGAGGTGCGTGGGGCTGTGGGTTGTCTTCCACCAGCCATCCCCCCAGAGCTAAGCAGGCACTTGGCGCCCAGCTAACATTTCCCAGCTCCCCTGGCTGCCAGGTGAGGCCATGGGACCACTGGCCAATGGGACAGGAGTGGATGTCGGCTCTCTCCCACGGCCCTTTCTTGGCTGCCTTTGCCCAGGGAAGAATACCTTGGGAGCTGGCAGGGCAGCAGTGAGACAGAATCGGGGCTCCAAGATGACCTCACAGAACCTCACCGCCTCCCAGCTGACCCTTAACGTGAGAAAGGTCAACTTCCAGCTTGTGGAAGCCATGTTAACCCGCGTGTCTAAGCAACCAGAGCCACGCGTGAACACCATGGTGCCTCTCTCAGATGGTGAGGAGAGACTGCAGCTAAGATGGGTGCCCGGCCTTGGCCACCTCCATGGTCATCAGGAAGGGTTTCACAGCCCAGATTCTCCGCCAGCCCCGAGAGGTCTAACTCAGCACATTTTCCTGGGAGCCATCTGTATGTTCAAACATCTCAGATACTCTGAGGCTCGGTGCCCTGAGTCCCATCTCTCTGGCCTGTCTCGGCCGTGGCCACCCAGCTGGCAAGTGCACAGCCGGGACCTGAAGCCCAAGCCCCACCAAGGGCACTCCGACCACCTCATGGGGCTCAGCAAGAAGCCAAGCTGCTCCAAGTGTCCATTCACCTCCCCCAGGCAAGCACCATGTGGACACTGATGGGACCTTTGATGACCACATCTCTGGGCACCTCAGGCCACTGCTAGGATGGCCAGCCACGGCTGCTGCACCGTGGACGTGGGCACCAAGAGACCCCAGGGCCAGCCCGGGATGCAGCCGGGGAACCCTCTCCAGGAGCCTTGTCCTGGTCTGGGGCCAGCTCTTGCTCAGTCTCTGAAAGCTAAAGGCAGATTGGGGGGGGGGGGGCTGCTCCTTGAGGTCTTCCTGTAGATTTGAGGTCCACCTGCCATCTCTCTGGCAGAAGAAAACGGGACTGGGGTTTTTGCCTCCTATGCCGCTGTTCTTCCTCTCCTGACCTTCTCTTCATCCCTGACAGCTTGCCAAGTGCTTTCCACGCACCTTCTCTCACTGTGAGGAAGCTTCCAGCAGCGTGCTTTTACAGACAGGGCTAGGGAGACCCAGGGAGGGGAAGTACCTCTCCAGCCTGGGCCTCCAGCTCAGAGTGTCCAGAACCCCACACACTGTTACCCTGCGAAGCTGCCAACAGGTGACCTGCTCAACTCAAACACAGGACAGTGAGCCACGGAGGCAGTAAGCCCGGCCCCGAGGCAGAACCATGGTTTGCCCAGAGCACCGACAGGCTTAGATCCAGCCAGTGTCCGGGCCTGTCCCGGTACACACAGGCCTCAGGAGCGAGGTAAGGCTCTCGGGTTCCCAGCGCACAATGGGTTCCGTGCCCTGCCCGCATGACCAACTCAGCCTTCAGCACCCTCGCGGGCCAGGGCCAGTGCCGGGATTGGCAGTGCTCACGGGGGCTGCGAGGCCTCCCGACAAAGCTGCCATGGCCCGAACCAGGTAAGCACCACGGCCTGCACAACATCCTCTTGGGGGACAGACTGTAATGTCCTCTGAACCCAGAGGCCTCCCCAGCGGGCAGGTCCATGTAGCCTGGCGGTTGCCTGGCGTCAAAAGCAGGGACACGGGGCTGAGCACGTGATGCTTGCCACCCCAGTCGTGGAAAAGCTCCTGTGCACTCAGACGTGGCAGCCTCTCATGATGAAGGTCCCTCTCCCCCAGGATGCTTCTCCCGGGACACTGACCACAGAAGTGTCAGTGTGAAGTGACCAGGCATGGCTGAGGACCAGCTCTCCCACGAGTGGACTGCCCAGCATGCCAGGCACTGGGGATGCCAAAACACCAGGCCACAGCCCAGGCCATGGGCCATATGAAACCGACCCTGCTGGTCCCCTGCTCCCACCCCGTGGCCCTCCCCTAGGAAGCCCAGGCTCTGCGGCTCCAACACCAGGAAGTGGCAAGCCTGGCCTCTCAGCAGAGCACGGTCAGTGCCTGCTTGGCGTGGCTGACAGATGCCGTGGTGTCGTGCCTGGTCCAGTGCCTGGCCCGCAAGGGACTGTTTCCTCACTGGTGGGTCTGAGAAGGTAGTGAGGGGGTGAAAGACAGGTCAGCGTGGGCTGCAGGGACACGTGGAGAGCACTGGGGTCCAGCACAGTCCACAGTATGTCCACGCATCTCTGTCGCCCAGGCCGGTGCCTCTCATGTTTTCCTGCCTGGGCGACTGAGAGAGGCTCTGAGCTGCTGGCTGGTTGGTTATGGGACATAGTCACCACGGGCCTTCCCTTCAGCCCAGGACTGTCTGCCCCACGGAAAACGGGCCTCCTGCCTCCTCCCCGCTCCCTACTGCCCGAGATACCAGGATCACAACTACCTACCAGCCCTCAGGGAACACAGGGAGATATTTCCGGGAGAG